GTGGGAATTAATATTTAGTTGGTACAGTTTCTATTTAGGATGAGGAAGTAAATAGTGGTGATGTTTGCACATTGGGAATGTCTTTATTGACCCTGAATTGTACACCTAAAATGGAAAAAGTGAGCAATTTTATATTGTATATGATTTAGCAAAATAAAAAATACAATGGAGGATGAAAAGTATTTAAAGCTAATAGACTACAAGTAAATTATTACAAATTACAGTTCTTTAACTTTTTTTTTTTTTAAAGATTTATTTGTTTTATTTTATACAAGCACTGGGTACAGTCAGAAGTGCGGGAGGGTGAGAGAATTCACCAGAGCCAGAGCAGGGAGCAGAGCAGGCAGAAGGACCGAAGCACACTGCTGAGGGGAGCAGCGGGCAGCAGGCAGCAGGCAGCAGGAGAGGTCTGCGCGCCATGTGGGACCCTCCTCCGGTGGCCGGGTTGCAGCCGGGGATCGAACCGGCGCTGCAGAGGCTGCGGGCAGCTTCACAACCCAGCGCTCAACCGCTGCGCCACCGGGGAGGCCCTCTTTAACTTTTTTTTAAAGATTTATTTATTTATGCATACAAGAACTGGGGTACAGGCCAGAGGTATAGGCGGTGAGAGGATTCACCAGAGACAGAGTGGGGAACAGAACAGGCGGATTGACTGAAATACACTGCTGAGGGGAGCAGCGGGTGAGTCAGGAGAGGTCTGCTGCACCATGTGGGCTGCTTCCTGGCCGGGGATGGAACTCATGCTGCAGAACTGAGGAGAGCTTCATAGGGTTGTGTCTTAATCCCTTGCGCCACCAGGGAGTCCCCAGTTCTTTAACTCTTAAGTAATATGGTTACTCAATCGTCTACCAGAAAGTAGTGAAACTTGGCTTAATGAAGAATGAGAATAGTAATTAATAATTACTACAGTGGGCCTCCCGGTGGCGCAGCGGTTGAGCGCTGGGTTGCAAAGCTGCCCGCGCCCGAGACGCTGGTTCGATCCCCGGCTGCTCCCCGGCCACCGGAGGAGGGTCCCACATGGTGCGCAGACCTCTCCTGCCGCCCGCTGCTCCCCTCAGCAGTGTGCTTCGGTCCTTCTGCCTGCTCTGCTCCCCGCTCTGGCTCTGGTGAGTTCTCTCGCCCTCCGTGCTTCTGACTGTACCCAGTGCATGTATAAGTAAAACAAACAAACAAATAAATAAATAATAAAGCATGCCTCTACTAAAAAAAAAAAAAAAAAAAAAAAATAATTACTACAGTTATTTAACTATTAACCAAACTGGGCTTTATGCAGATAATGGCCATTTAGGCTAGACTGGAGCAAGAAAGATAAACTTAGTAAGAACACTGGCATATTCTTACCTAAAATTGTGATTCATATTACTCTTTCTGAACTTACTTCATTTGTATGATGAACTACATTATTGATCTTCCATATCTGATTCTCCACAGACTTAAAATACGCGAAAGTTGGCAGCATTCCTGAGTCCCCTTTAGTCTGGGAAGAACTCTGTCGATTAGTTTTGGTGAATGGGTTGTGGGTTAACTGGTATTATTTCTGAACCTAAGCTTTCAAGACCATGAGCATTGTCACATCAACCAAGGTGGCTGCATGTTTCAGAAAATGCAAGTTTTCTGTCAAACTGGAGCACTGAGTTGCTTCATTAGAAGCAATGGCCAGAAAGAGCCCCAAATCAGCAAGGACTTTGCAATGAGCACAAATAAGTCACTGACATTCTGGAATCACTTGTTGGTACAGTATAAGATTATCCTGACAAATACCAATATTGGTAATGGAATTGGGTGTTGCTCAAACAACCTAAAATATGTTGTTGGCATTAATGTAGTTTTATTGGCAGGCATAGAAAACTAATATTGGAAGCTGGAAACATGGCACTTCACGTTGTGCAGTGGTGAGACATTTGATAGAACTGTCACCCCAATAACCTGGCAGGAAGAAAATGTTCCTGATGAATTTTGAGCTAAAGGAAGAGGTTGCAATACAGGACAGTGTGAGTTAGGTACTATTTGATGTATTTAGCAAGGCATTATACCAGAGTAAAGAAAGCTCGGAGAGGAATGATTGTTTTGTAAAAGCTGAAAACAAGGGAGCATCAGCGCCCAGAAATTAGGTCTCATGTAGCTGGGTTTTTCAACTCTCATGTAGCTGGGTTTTTCAATTTTCATGTAGCTGGGTTTTTCAAGCAGTAGGAGAAAAATTAGAGAAAGCGTATGACAAAGGGTCATGAAAACTCAGTCTTGCAACAAGTTTATAACTGAAGTTACAGATTTTGTACTTATTTTGGAAAATTTTTCAATGGTTAATTCAGATGTGGAATCCTATTTTTTTCTCACTTGGGAAAATGCCTGAGGATGAAGATGTGGTTAAGAGGATGGCTCTCCCATTAAAGATTATAGATAGTACCTATTTTACAGGAAAGAGATATAGAGGCAGGAAATCAAAGAAATAAAACCAACCTAGGATCTACTTGGCTCAACCTCATATGGTTATATAAATCTGACTAGAAAGAGGTTAGATACATACTAAATTTTTAAGAGTTGTACTGAAGGGGCCTCCCCGGTGGCGCAGTGGTTGAGCGCTGGGTTGCGAAGCTACACGCAGCCTCTGCAGCGCCGGTTCGATCCTCGGCGCAGCCTCTGCAGCACTGGTTTGATCCCCGGCTGCTCCCCAGCCACCAGAGGAGGGTCCCATATGGTGCGCAGACCTCTCCTGCCGCCGCTGCTCCCCTCAGCAGTGTATTTCGTCAGTCTGCCTGCCCTGCACTCCCCTCTGGCTCTGGTGAATTCTCTCACTCTCGCGTGCTTCTGACTGTACCCAGTGCTTGTATAAATAAATAAAAACAAATTTTAAAAAAGAAAGTTGTACTGAAAAAGAAGCCCAAATCTTAACTATTGTGATTATTCCAAACTGAGACAATGATTTCAGTCCCCACTTACTAGGAAATAGACTCAAGCTGTGCAACAACCAAGGGTGGCATATTTCTCAACAGTTACTCAGAGGATAATAAAAGATTTTCCAGAGGGCAGAAGTGTGGCTACAGAGGATTTAAAAAGGGGAATTCTCTGATTTCCCTAGTGGCCTAGGGGATAAGTCTCAGTGCTACAACTGCCACAGACTGAGTTCAACCCCTGCTTCCAATCAGGGAGCTAACCCACATGGCAGCAGGCCTCTCCTGTTTTATCCATTGCTCCTCTCAGCAGTGTATTTCAGTAGATCTGCCTGTCCTGCTCCCTAATCTGTCTCTGGTGATCCTCTCATCTACCCACCTCTGGCCTACACCCAGTTCTTCTACACAAAAATATTTTTTTTAAAAAAAGGAGGCAATAATTATGAGAGAATAGGAAAAGAGTCAAATCATGAACATACTCTATGCCTAGGGTAAAGGACCTGGCAATCCCTCCATTCTTTTTCCCCTTTCTGAATGAGAATGTTTACTGTGGTTATGGCTCCACCTGTTCTAAAACTGCACAGTGGTTCCTTGGTCTCCACACTAATGGAAGCAGCTCCAGACCTGACATAGCACTTCTAGCATCTGGTCTTAGAGAATAAAACTTTGCCTGGATGGGACTTTGGGGCTGTGTCTTGAATAGGGATTTGCTGTGTTCCATTTGTAGAAATAATCAAAACAGTGGAATGTGAGACTTCTGGTTTGTTCATACTTTCTCCTTCTCTTCTGAGCACATAGATTTACTTTTACTACCCATCCTTCCTTGCAATAAGGCAGGGCCATGAACTACTTTTGGCTAATGGGTTGTGACACATCCAAGATGAAAACTTAATTGCTGGCACAGATCTTTTAGTACTCTCTTGCCCTGCCACAATGGGGAGGCCTGTGTTGAAATGATATAGCCACAAGACTGAATCAGCCTGAGTTACCAGTTGGAAAACAGCTGCCTTTGCAAGATTGACCACAGTCAGGGTGGACTTTGAGTGAGGGAGAAATACTTTTATTGTGTTAAGCCATGGAAATGTGAAGTTACTTGCTATTGCAGTAATCCTGTCTGTCCTAATACATATGGATATGTAAACATTTTGGATATTTCTGCTTGAGTGCAACATGAAAATGCCTGCAGGGTGCCCAAGAATATCCAAAATTACATAAAAAACTAAGGACATTATTTTCTCTGAGATTTCCCTTCCTAGTCTCTATATTGTCATTGGCAGAGGTGAAGAGAGTGCCCCAGAATTAACACCTTCCTCTTCCCCCAACACTCATTGCTTCCATTTGGGACTACCAGGGCTAATATTACACCTTTTATTCCTAGAACATCCTTCATCCCCTGGACCTTAATTCCCATATGGCTCTGTGGGTAATGTTGCTTAATTTTCTCCCCATATCATTTATCATTTGATATATATATTTTTTCTTACTCTTCACTTCCTAGAATATTTCTTCACTTCTTAGAGAGATTTCTGTTTCTATGTTCAGTGCTGTATTCCCATTGCCTACCATGGAGTAGGTATTCAATAAATATTAAATTGCTGCTCAATATAAAATGTGATCTATAGCTTTCATTATCCTCTCAAAGTGCTTCATGACCCAAAAAAGATTAAATATATATTTCTTAAAAACCCAGATAGGCAGTGTTATTTCCTAATGACTTTTCCTGCCTAAATAATGCAAACATGTTGAGAAACATCTGAAAGGGTAAAGACTCACCCTTGGTAGATGCTCATACTAAAGTCTGAGTGAAAGTGACCCATAATAAAATATTTCGTTCTGAAATGAATTTTTAAAATAGGGTATTTTAAATACAGCTAAGAAAACAAGAAACAATTGATAAAATATTCTGTCAATAATGTGCATTGCAAAAACTCCAGGATCAAATAATTTTGAAACAAAGTAAGAATATTTATTATGCATGTTTATATAGTAACATCAAAGTATACTCAATAAGTTACATAGCCACTTTCTAAAAACACTGCAAAAAAGAAAAAAACAGTAAGAATAGTATAACTAATGTTATTCAAAATTTAAAATATAGTCATCTGTCTTTTAAACAGATTTGAATTGGTGATTTCTACATGAACCAAAACATTTTAAATATCTAAAAATAGTCTTTCTCAATGCACTACATAATATATAAAGGCTCAGTTTTATTGCATATACACATTTGGTTTAGGCTTATTTGATCAGGTAACATGCAGACAATTATTAATATGAATTTAAGGTAGGCAGATGTCATTTTATACTACAAAAATTAGGTGCTACATTTCACAACTTAATCTTCAGGAAATTTCATTCAGCTGTTGTATAAAGTCACTGACTAAAATCATCACACATGCAAGCTAAGAGCTATTAAATATATTATAGTCAAATAGCTCTGGTGGCACATTTAAAATAAGAAACCAGGTATCAACTCCTTGAACTGACACCAACTACAACTCTCCATGGCTACCCAACAAGGTAGTCTTCACACCAGTTTTAAAAACATTAAATGACAAAATCTTAAATATAGCCATGTTTGGTCATGTCAAAAATATTCATAAAGTTTTATTTTAAATATGGAAAAACTAGGGGAAGCTGGGATTGGACATACCCTGTAAACCAGTTTCTAAATAAAGTTTGTGAAACCTCTTTTACTTCTTAAATTCACTTGGCCAAACACCATGGTAGTTGTGTTGATCTGTAAACATTCTCACTTATTTTGCACTGTTTCCTGGGGTCATCTGAAAACTATTGCTATTACAGGAGCTTCACAATTTAGTACCTCCATAAATGTGCTTTAGAAATACTAAAATAAAATAAAAATAAAATTAATATGTAGGCCCATGTGTATCTTAACATGCTTTCTTTATTATAAAACTATCCTTAAAAAATTCTCAGGTATCAAAATCTATTTCCAGAAGACTTGGGGAAGCATTCACAAAGTCCAGGCCATTAAAAAAAAGAAAATTTTTTTTTTTTTCAGCATTAGCACATTTTACATTGTGGAAACAATAAAAGCATCTTACTTGCCTGTTACACTTAGCCTAATGTCTAAAACTTACGTAGGTCTCTCCACTTTAAAACATGTTAAAACTGTGTCAGCATTATGTCTGACCCATAACATGTATTTAATAAATATACACTTAATGAATAAATGTGAAGTTAAGTATAAAAAATGGTAGTACTCGAGTGCTGAGGTAATGTTCTGAAGCTACAATGTATCATTCAATGAAAAAATCAATCTTAATAGACACTCAGAATAAAGCTAAAGATCTACTTGATAAATGTAGCACTGGTGAATTTCCCAGCATTCTATCAATGAAAAGAGGAACCATGCACTTTGCATCATTCTTGACATCAACCATCACTCACTATCTATTTGGTTAAGGAATAAGTGAAGGAGAATAGAAAAGAAGGCTTTTGTTTCTTTCCTCTTTTTCCTTTTCTTTCATCTGTCTGTCTAACAAGCACGTGATGGTCTAATGAGAAGTGCATGTCTCTTAATGGTCTCTTTTCTAAAAGAAAAATGAAGTTACTTGATATTTATATTTGGGGGGAGGGTATGGTAATTGTCATCACCAAGATGGCATATTTAAAGAAAAAATTTTTCAAAAAATTCACTGCTGTTACTAAAATCTTCCATGTGAATAGATTTCAGTGAAAACAGACAACAGTCTGAGTTTGCAGACTAACTTACAAAGATATATTTCTCAAATATTTCACTATTAAAATGACAAAAAATACACTATTAAAATTTCGACAGCTTTAAAATTAGAATTTGTGCAATGACATTTTAAAGTGCTACACTTTGTGTACCAATGCCATCTTTAACACTATCCCCAAGCCCATTCATCCACATAACAAAATACAGCACTAGTAACTCTAATAATGTTATTTATACTTGTATGTTACAAGTCAGAGTCTTGATTAAATATTTCCATATATATATTATCTACAGCCACTATTCTTATCTTCCTTTCCACAAGGAGAATGAATTGGGACTAGGTATTTATCCAGCCTTTGCCTATAGTATTATTGCCTGAACCAAGTAGTTATATGTTTTGATTCAATAATGTGACTTTGAAGTAGCCGTAACTTTTTTAAATTGTAAACCTAAGGGATAATATTTTCATGCCAAGTTTTGACATCTTAATATGTATTCTGGGGAGAGGGGTATCATATTTTTTGTATTACTTAATTACTTAGAAAATCAGAAATGCCAACATTTAAGTCCCATTAAAATAAAAGCCAAATCCACTTGAATTCATTAATGATGCTGTTGGAGACAAAAAGAAAGTGATCTCAAAACCATGATTAATATTTACTGACCTGTGGAGAAAATATACTTCTCTGTTAAGTATAATAGATTATAATTTTCTATTATTTACAAATATAATTTGGTAATATATATTTCAAAGGTATCCTATTAATCCATGTGGATTAACAACTTCTATTTACCAATTCTGCATGTTACAGTTATCTACAATTATATCTTAACCTTGGCTAATCACTTATAAACTATTCTCAATCCACCATAATAGGCTGCAAATAAATATGTTAGTGAAATATTTCAACATTTTTCTAGTGCTCAAAATCTCAATGCAATATGATAACCAGTATGTTATTTGCATCCCCTTCTTACTGAAGTTACAGTGATACCCTTTTATATGATTGAATCATTATGACAAGGTCATTAAAATGTATTAAATGTCATTTCATGTACTTAGTATTACAGCAATGCTTCCCACACAGTAGTATGCTTACATATACCAATGGTCAGTCCTGAGATGATTTTTTTTTTTTTCATTTTATTTATTTATTTATTTATTTATTTATTTTTTATAATAAGTGGAGTGCTGTATGGATGAACAAATTTTCTTTAATAGTTACATATTTTAATGTTTATTAGAAAAAATATAACTAGCACATAAAATACCAAATATGGTTGCTCAAAACAAGTCCAAGATAAAAAAGTAAAACTAAAAGATAGGGTTAAAAATACAAGCTAACAATGGCACAGAAGATACATATATGTAAGATCATGAAGGTGGCATGTCACTCACATTTGGAAACTGCTGTTTTAAGGAATGGATTTAGTCTACATCATTGCCTGTAATAGTAAGCCACATTATAAAGGAATTTTCTTCGATTACTGTAGATTGTTTTTTCTCCCATGACAAGTATTTTTTAATGTGTTTTTACATTTATTTTAAGAATATAAATTTGAAAGCACTGAATAAATTAAATTTACATTAAAAGGATTCACCAAAATGGTAAAAATGTTAAAGAGCATTTGAGAGACATGCTATTCCTACCGAAAAGATTACAAAGGCACATTGTATATTATGGTTATCACTGCAGCATTTAAATAAAAGTGACCTAAGTAATCATTATCAGTCATAAATAATAGTTATAATATTCTTTCATAAAAAAGCAGATATGCTTGTGCACTAAGTGCTCTTGATTCTGGAACCACTTGCACATAAGTGTCACTAACATGGACCCACTGGTCAGCTGCATCACCATCAGGTTCCTTCAAACCTAACAAAACAAGAAGTATAATTTTTAACAAGAATTATGTTATGTTCTTATTCTACATTGTAAACAACAACACATTCAGCACAAACTATTTAGCTAATGCTAGATCTTACTGCATAAGTCCCATTTCTTTTTAGGTTAAAAATCTTCCAAATGAACTCTTTCAAAGCATTAATATTGTAGGAGTAACAATCAGGATCACTTTACTTTTAATATCAAGTGAAATATTAGATAGTCTTGTAAATATACCTTTTCTCGGGGAAAAGAATCATTTTCACTAAAGGGGAGAAGAACAGTGTGACAAAGTTACTAATTCACTGCTCTTTAAGCAGAATCAAGAGATTTTTATTTCAAACTCTATTTTAACTCAACAGATTTTTAATTCTGTTGAGGACCTGGATGTCATTGGAAACTTCTGACATTGTTAAAGAAAAGGTTACTCCATTGCAATCCACAGTGACTTATCACCTTGGAATACTGTGTGTGACTTCACACCACCCAGATGGTTACTTACAGTCTTATGATATTAAGGATTCTCCAAGATCACCTAAGTACTCTTTTTTTTTTTTTTAAAGATGTATTTATTTATACAAGAACCCGGGTATAGGCCAGATGCGAGGGAGGGTGAGAGGATTCACCAGAGACAGTGTGGGGAACAGAACAGGCAGATTGATGAAATACACTGCTGAGGGGAGCAGCGGTTGAGACAGGAGAGGTCTGCCGCACCATGTGGGATTCTCATCGGCTAGACTGGATCGAACCTGCGCTATAGAGGCTGTGGACAGCTTCACAGTGCGGCGCTCAACCGACTGCGCCACCAGGGAGGCCCCTAAGTACTCTTAAAGATGATTCTCACTTAACATTAGCAAAGTGAATCCACTTAACATATCCATGAAATAATATACCTCTTCCAGAAAAAGAATAAATTCATTTGTTAAAAACAAAGTTAAGTTAGGATGGCATACCAGGTACACTTTTCTTTCCTGTGATATGTTCCAGTAATTTCCTGGAGGGTGTTCTCACTTTCACATAAGCAGTATAGTGACCTCCTCTCATGGAGCCACTATGTTCCACTATGCCATAGAGACCATAGAGAACTTTATCTCCCACGCTCACATTCTTTTAGACAAAAGAGAAAACCAAATTAGTAATATTTACTGAAATAGGAGAATGAAGTCAGATGTATGTCCTGCTTTAAAGAGAGAAATGTATATTAAAACTACACTGAGATGCTTATCCACACATATTAGACCAGCAGAATTTTTTTTGCAAAACTGACAATATTCACTGTTGGTTGGGATATGGGGAAAAGAGTATTCACACTTCACTGATATTTCATATTATCTGGCTATGTATTTCTCTTGGATTCACCAATCGTATTTCTAAGAATCTGTCTCACAGATACATATCCAAAACGTAAAAAGACATGCACCAGACTATCAATCAGTATTATTGTAATACCAAAAAACTGGAATAGACTCAAATGTCCATGAACTGGGGACTTGTTGAATAAACTATGATGTATCCATGCAACAAAGTATCATGTTGTTTGAATAATGGAGTGCAAACTATTTCTAAAAACTAGTTATAGAATAATCTCCAGATTATAATGTTAAGAATAAGGTAGAAAAAAGGATACATATTGTAAACTAATTATTTACAAAGGGAGATGCATAGACACCTATTTGCTTATAATTTAATAAACTATAATACCTCAAATGGTTACCTATAAGGGAAGGGTAGAAACAGGTGGAAAGGACATGAAGAAAAGCTACAGTTCTTCGAATTTACCTTGTTTTACTTACATTTTGTAAGTAAAATGTACAAAACATTTTACTTAGGAAATGTGTAATTTATGTAATTAATAAACAAAAAGTGAAAATAAAATGTTAAACAAATGAATATCCGGTTGGTGGCATAATTATTCAAAGAGGAACCAATAAAGTCATGTTGAAAGAACCCAGCAGCCAAATGGAAGTGGCTTTCAGTATGAAATGGGTCAAACAGTAGCCCCATTAGACTAAAATATCAGACCATGAATAAAAAGGTGTAATAAATTGAAGCATCTAATAATGCTTAAATCCATGATTGCATAATGATAAATTAAGTAATCACAGTATGAGGACACTAGTGAACTAATTCATTGCTTTGAAAACTGGTTTATAAAGGGGGGGACAGAAAAGAAGTGAACATTTATCCTGCCTTTTTTATAGGAACATATAACTAAATGGATGAAAAGAATTTACCTATATATAGTATTCTAGCTAGCTAAAATGAAGAATGAATTAGAATATGGCCTTTATGTAATTCTTAATGAGCTTATGGATTGCATATTATATGGTTGCTAATACCATAAAAAGATAACTGGCATTATGTGCCAACCTATGAATGAATGTAAGTCTTCTTATGAAACAGCCTTACCCAAAAAGGAATATCAAACCTGAATCTGTTCAAGCCTTCTAAATCCAACTACCTAGTTGCAGGAAAATAAAGGACAGAGAACAATAATCAAAATCTAAACTGTGGGCAGCTACCAGAAAGATGCCCCAATTACTTCAACAAATAAATTGCAAGTGGAGGGAGAAAAGGGGAGATGGGAGCAGGGAAGCTGTAGTAAAAGAAACTAAAAGATATTATCCAATCATAATGTGTAGCCCTTATTTGGATACTAATCCATTTAAAATTTTTATTTATGAGACAATTTGTATATATACTAGATGATAAGAATTATTGTTAGTTATGTTTTAAAAAGAGGGAAGTTCTAGTATCTACTCATCTTTGAGATGTAAATATTTATTTTTCATTTATACACATTTCTCCAGTAACAGCAAAAATGTAATTAGAGCCAACCTGTTCTCTTAGAGAGCAGTCGTTATTGTTTTTCTTTTCTTTTCCTAAATTCTAGTTAGCAGTGTGCTCAGAACATCATATGAATTCTCAATAAATCTTAAATCAAGAAAATAAAGTATAAAATAAAAAGGGTGATGTGATCATCTTTTTGAGACAGATCGTGAAATATTTAAGAATTAAATGATAGCTTATAAATCTGTTTCAAACTAATGCAAGAGGAAGAAGAGAATAAGGGTGTGGCCTGGGCAGGACTGGCAATGTATCTATAGGTACGAGGGCTAGGTGATGGGTGCTAGGGCTTCATTGTACTGTTACCCCATTAACTGTTCAATTCTCTCAAAGACAAAATCATCAATTCACCTACATAGCTCTTACATATTGGTAATTATACACCAGCCTGCTCTTTATACCTAATAAAGTATTAGTAATTTTGGTAAGCACACTATTCTCAGTACTGCACATGATGCACTAGTATATTGATTTACAAAAGATTAAAGAACTCTACAAATGCTAAAACTACTGTCAATGAAGCACATCAGTCGCAAGAAACAGGAGAGGCCCAAATTCTGCCTGCTTCTGCCAGCAGCCATGTGCTTCCAGTAGCATTTACAGGCAGCTTTGACCTTCATGACCACCATGCCTCATGCTTTACCCACCTCTACAACTTTCCCTTATTCTGTCTCCCAAGTGACCAAGTGTGTGGAATGTGTCTCTCATGTTAGTGATTTAATTTCACTAACTATACAATTCCCTTTCAGAGGAAAAGCTTATTTTAGAAAAGAAAACCATGGTCTAATAAACAATACATAGAATATTTTAAGCATATTATTTGTAAACTAATTAAATATTTTAATAACCTACCTTACAAGTAGCAGAACAGAAGGGTGCTAAATCAAGCAAAAGTGGAAAATCTACATGTCTGTTAACTTTGCGAAGACTCAAGCCAGCCTAAAAAAAAAAAAAAAAAAAAATTAAAGTAACAAATTTACATCTAAATCATTGTGTTTATTAAAGTAAAAAAAGGAATCCTGAAAGTTTTTTTCATAGTTATAAAAATGTGACTAATGAATAATAAAAAAAATTGATAATCAAGTGTTTCATTTGGTTTCATGAATTGTTATTATAAAAGAGTATTCATTTAAACATGCATTTTTACACAAATATGAGAATAATTACTTTTACTGTGGCCTTTCAACACTTAGGGAAAAATAAATTCAATGTGATGAAAGTTAAGGTACTGACATATACACTATTATGAAAATATATTCAACTAGAGTCAGGAGCCTGGTGTTTTATGTCTGACTAATAACTGGTTAACAGCTAACTTGACTCTAGGCAGCCCCATCGAGGTCAAGGCAGAAAATAAGTATAAATGAATAGAATAGGTCCTTTTCAGTTCTAAAATTCAGTGATATTTATTCATTAAAAAAGAAGAAAAATCCTCAAAACATAACTATCAAAATAGTAAATTGTATATAAATTGAAATGATCCTTCATGATCTTTTACCCATTCGAATAGGTTAAAAAAGTAATTTCATTGTTTTGCTGAAAAGGATGGATTTTTTTCCATACTTTTTGCATTTTTTACTTCTTTTATGAATTGTCAATTTATGTTCTAGACCCACTCTATTGTTGGGAGTCTTGGTATTCTTCTTGTTGATCTTTAAGAGTTCTTTACATATTTACAATATTAATCATTCACCATTTTATAACAAAGATCTGTGTTCTGTTTGAGACTTGCCTTTCAGTGTTGTGAATATTTCTGATATACAGCTTTAAGGTTATTACAATGAAACAGGCTTTCAGGGGCACTAAAAATCTAGAAGCATAGATATTGCTTAGAGACTGCTCTCCACCATTCCCAATCCCTAGGAATGAGAATACAGCTTTGCTGACATTACATTTCATCTTGAGAACAAGAGAGAAATGAGATACCGGTGAAAAATTCCCCTTACAGGCATAAATTCTTTATGTAAGTTGTTCCTAGATAGGGATGCAAGGACCAATATAAAATAACTGTGGCACATCAAGAAGTTAGCTTCTCAGATCTGTTTCAGTCACTGCAAACATATACCTTCCGTCAGATATACTGATGTTATTAATAAGACATGGTGCACCTGCTCCTGCTATTCACAGTCATTTCATGTTCACTGCGTTTCAATAACCCTGACTACAGAAAAATCAAAAACTTAATCTAAACTTTCTGTGAAGTGGGATGGAGAAAAATCTCTTCCTCCCATCTGTGGATAACATGAAATATGATTAATGTATGATCAAAGCTCTCCATCTTTTACCTTGAGATTTCTATCTATCATAAGTTTTATACTTACAAAGACTTCCACAGAGAGGTTAGGTTAATGTTTATTGGAATTTTTTGCTAGTACTGGGATATTTTGTTTCATACATATTTTAAAAGTTTATCTAAAGGGACCTCCCTGGTGGCGCATGGGGTTAAGTCTCAGCATTAGGAAGGTATCAGCAGCCACTGCAGCATGAGTTCAATTCCCGGCCAGGAAGCTAAACCAAATGGTGCTAAACCAAACGACACCTTTCCTGTCTCTCCCACTGTTCCCCTCAGCTGTGTACTTTCGTCCTTCTGCCTGTTCTGCTCCCTGCTCTGTCTCTGGTGAATTCTCTTACCCTCCCGCGTCTCTGGCCTGTACCCCAGCTCTTGTACACATAAATAAATCTTTAAAAAAACAAAGTTTATCTGAAAATAGCCTATCATAGAGGAAAGTTCTAAATTTTCATTTCTTCAAATAGAATAATCAGTGCCTTTCCCAAATGATTTGAGATGATTCTTTACCATAACAATAGTTTTAAACTTTACTTATTTTTTTATTTATTGACAATCCTCTTCTTGATTTTACTTACTGACAATTCAGACCATACTGTTTTAGTTATTATAGTTTTATTTTAAAACTTATATCAGAATTCATTCCTTCTAGCATTTTCAAAAATGTTTTATCAGATGCAAAAAAAAAAAAAAATTCCACTGAGACAAGACATTGGATTAAAGCTACAAATAAGTGGAGAAAAACCTAACACATTAAAAAAAAAATTGTGACTCTCCCACTAAGGAGGGGGGGAGGAGCTATTTATAGTCCTTTGTGCATTTAGTTGTAGCCCACAATGTCCAGCCTGCACACTCCTCAGTAGGGTCATGAGAGCTCAGAAAGCTTATATGTGCTTTGCTACTTCCCTCTTCTAAGTGTTCTTAATAAATCATATATTTCATTAACACACATACACATATTTTGGTTTCTACCATCTAAATCTTCAATACACTGAATTAAAGAATTTTAATTACAAAAGTTTTTGTAACCTATGGCCAAAAAAGCAGAAAATTCCGTATCACAGTCTTTAAATTCAATAAGTTACTCTCTAATTGGTGACATTATAAGACAGGTTTCCACAAAACAATTGATGGAAATGACCAAACTGCTACTAAAGGGATTTTTACCTGATGGAATCTTTTTAGATGGAGAATTAGGATAGCTGGAACAGCAGAAATGAGCAACTGCTTCCTCGCATTAGTATAAACCCCTTCTGCTTTTCTTTCTGCATAAAATACATTTATTTATAAAATTCCATTTTACACATTTTCCACAATATAATACAATAAACATTAACATAGAAGCGTCAGACCACATCTTAGAAAATTATAAAAAGGTTAAGTAGACTTTTGGCTACTGGGTACCTCTATTCCATTCCAAAAACTCCACTAAAATGAAAGGGATTTATTTTTTTAAGGCACATACTTATAAATTTAAAGAATAGGAGGAGGTGACACTTGCAACAAAATTTTGGAAGTAGAAAGCAGATGAACCACTACTGACTTATGTCAATGTTCTCCAGCCAAAGACCACCATAAACATACCTGTAGCTGAGAAAAATGGTCATTAGTCATTACAGTGAAAGGAGATCAAACACCAATGGGACCAAGAAGCATTACAATAAGAGATTGTTAGGACTTGTAACTGAATTTGAACATGGCCAACTGCATATATAATTTGGATGAATATAAGTCGATCTTTCTCCTTTCTTCCATCTAGACATTTCTTTAATTACTAGTGCATTAAGTATGTCTTTATTCTGATACTTTGGTATCTGGAGCCTTGTTGGTGCTGTGGGGATGGGCTCTCCCAAAGCTAAAACTTCCTAGAGATACTAAACAACTCAAATGCATCTTTCAACAAACCTAAAGCCAATACCCTAACCACCACCTTCATACGCTTATATCCTGGTAATATTATACTCTTAGAGTTTATATATTCTAGGCCCCTATGCCACCATTCTACCTCCTTATTTATACTGCGGCCAGACACCAGGCAACTAGAGACACTCCTTGACCCCCAGAACCCACTTTAATTATTTTAAAAAAAAAATCAACCCTAACTCTTCTCACTCTGCCTTGTTCTTTCATTTCTGCAGCAGCCACAATAAAGACTCTTGCCCCAAGTTTCCCCCTTGATCCCTCTGTCTCCTGACCACCCTTGGTGCCTCCCCTTGTAGGCCTGCTTGACATGGGTTAGCATGCTCCCTCTTCTTGGGAATTCTTAAGTCCAAATTTATCTTTTCAGTGGCAGTCTGGTCCTGATCTGTTGGCTTCACAGTCCTGAGTAATAATAAAGGCTACACTTTGAAACAACAAGTCATTAAAAATAGAACATTCTCTCCATTTATTCAAGGTTAGAGTACACTGAGATTTCCTTGACCAGTCCCTTTATTCTACTTTGGTCAACTAGACATAGTTATTATATTTCTAGCTTTATAACATACAATTTAAAATCAGCTAACATATCTTATGCTATGATTTTATAGTGGATTGACAGAATTTGTGGAGCACATTAATCTCATTAATCTTGCCAGTGATACAATTTTAAGTTTTAGAAAATTCTCCTAGAAAGATTTCAGAGTGCCCCCTGAAATAAAATTATGTGGATTTATATTTTCAAGGCAGAGATGGATATGTCCTGTTCTTCAATTCATTTCAACAAAAATCTATTGAAAATTTACTCTGCTCAGTATCTTCAGCACTGAGGTACAATATGAATAAGACAACCCCTGCCTCCAAACAGCTCAAGTATGGAGACAGAGTTCTCTGATTCCTCTGTAACCTACTAGTCAGTCTATCTGATAATTCATCAATACAAATAAATGTAAGCTAAATATTTACCTGCAGAACTGGTTTCCTTTTGGTACTTCTGTTTCTTTTCAGTACAATTCTCACAGAGAAGCTTGTTATTCCCCATCAGTAATTCCATAGATGTAAACTGGTAGAGACAGGACTGAATTGAGCATTCTTTAGATGTAGTTACATAGCTCTGAGAAAGGGTCTGAAAAGCATTTTGGGGGCTGTGAGACACCATATGCTTCTCCTCTGAAAAACAGAAATTATTTGGAACACTTAATGGCTGGTTTTCTCTGTCAAAATTTCTATCTCCCATTTCAGCATTGCTCAAATGAAGTTCAGAAATAGCTTCAGCCACTCCCTCATCACCACTGTCATTCTTCTTGATGTGCAGTTGACTTGCTGATGGATGGGGGAGGTGTCCGTTGGTGTGTACACAGCATCCATTACTGCATCGCAGTAACACAGAGTTATTAGAAGCACTTTCAGATTCTGAAGCCTCGCTGTCGGCATCGGCGCTACTTTCCGAGTGACTGGCTTCTTTCTCGCTGCCATCAGTAGGGCTTTCAGTCAGAGTTGTTTCAGCACTCCTGATGCTCACAAACACTGAAGAATCCCCATTCATTTCAGGGTCTTCATTTTTCCGGTATATGACAACAGTTTTATCTTCTCCAGATGACAATTTTTTTATACTTTTTCTGCCATGAATTAGTTGATTCTGTAAGTTGACAGTGTTTTCAGAGAAAAGAATCTTGTGACCTTACTAAAAATAAATGCCAATAAGCCTTAATTAAACATGATATCAATATTATTACTAGTACCTCTGACATCTACTTCCTAAACTGTAAAAATCTACAGTCAATAGAAGATATGCTAACAAATAGTTCTAGTTTAAAAGTAAACCTTTACACAAGAAACAACAATGGTGGCTACCTATCTGCAGAGAAGGGAATGGGACTCTGGAATAGGGCAGTGAGGGAGGCTTTTCAACTGTTAATACACACCAAATCATGCAAAAAATATTTTTTTAATGAAGGAAAAATTCAGATATTTCTTCAAATTTACATGGGATAAACAATAATCAGGTGATGTCCCCAGTGAAATAATGGGTCTAGACAGTGGTCATCGATGACTGGCCATAACACAGAAAGAAAGACATCAAACGTTACGTTCACCTCCTAAACAGAAGTATACGCACCACTTAAAATTTTCTGACCAAAAATTAAATTACTAAACTTGAACCTAATTAGGCCTCTAGATCTAACTGCCTTAGAATAGAAATAAAGGAGAACAAAGGATGCAATAACATTAATATTAGTGCCATGTTCATGGTAACATGGTTATGTTTTTAAAAAGACTATTCTATAAAAACACAAGTGTTGACAAAACTGACCCAAAATCTTTGTAGAGGGTTGCCTTTTCAGACAAAAAGTATCCTGTCCTTACAATTTTGAAACCAGAGCTATGGAAGAAGACATATGTACAAGGCTGGGTTTTGAGAATACAATTGAAATAACAGATTTCCTAGTTTAGAATTGTCCTATAAGTAATTTCAGAGTCATATGACAAAATATAATGTAATTATTGAAAAGCCATGTTCACAAAGTACATACAATGTCATAGGAAACACCAAAGATAACATGTAACCCAAAAAACCCAAATACATTCAAATATGGTAGGCCCAGTGGAAAATAATTAAAAATAATTTAAAAACAGAGTATTTAGTTTTTTAGATAAACTGAAGTAAATGACATATTTAGGATTTATTTCAAAGTAATCTGGGATGGAAATGAAGAGAATGTGGGATAGATACAGATAAAACATGATTAGCCATTAATTGATTATTATAAAGTATAGAAAGAGGTATATGGGAATTTATTACTATTTTCTCTATTTTTGTATATATTGTTCTCTATTTTTGAATTTTTAAAGTTTATAAAAATAGATATCTCATAAATGTACATAGTCTTACCTTATTTTTAGATGAAAAATGCTTCTGGATGGCTCTAGGTTGATGAGTATTTTCTATAGCAACAGTGCCATTGTACTGACCATTATCTGTCTCCTGTGAACTTCTATATTTACTCATCTTTCCCAGAAGTACAGGCTTTGAGACCTATATAGATGCACGTACATAACACAAAACTTCAGCAAATAAATTCTGGATATTATCTACTTTTTACAATTTTGAATTTATTTGAAATATAAATTCCTTAACATTAGCTCACAAAATATAAAGCATAAGGATTTAAATTCCTTAAGAATAAAAACTATACTTTATGCATATATATACAAATCCCAGTATCAAGTACACTGTAGAAGTTCTATTTAATATGTAAAAAATGATGCGTAAATATTTGAATAAATGTTGGAATGCATAAATGATAAATTCCCCTCACAAAAGACTCATTAAGCTTTTTCTCCTTACCCTTTCTTCTATTATAGGAAGTGAAATATCAATGAAAGGATCTTTCACCATAGAGATCTTAAAAAGAAAACATATTGAGAACTTCAGTTAGAATTGTAATATAGACAACGTAGTTTTGTAAAGTCTTAAAAAAAAAATCAAACTTCCCAGGAAACTTAAAATTTTAAGTTTAGAAATGTTCCTAGAACAAATAGTGACTTAACAGGTATAGCAGCACATAACATAAATAAAATATAAAATGTTAAAAAAGCCAGAGAGCTTTTTCGAAGTTTTTTAAGTTTCTTAGGATAATTGTCTTAAAAGATACTCTCTACCTAATAAGAAAGAAATCAACTTCATATTGACACATTCTGTGCTTTTATATGATAGGCTGGAAGGAGATATATAAAACATAATCCTAATTTTATATACTACAGAAGAAAGATACTCCATAATCTGGGACAAGAAAACGAATATAAAGACTTTTATCATTAAAAACTGACAAAAGTTTAGACATTCTCTAAGCATTACACTTTCAGAAACATTCTTCACCAACCAATTGAAAACCTGTAAAAATTTATACATGCTTAAAATTGTTAAAATACAGATGTGATACTTAAAATTACCACTAAATTCAAAGATGGGTCAAGCCTACTTAAAAAAGAAACCTTCAACAAAGCACAGAAGTGTAAACCTAAAACCAAATGTGATATACCATCCTAAATTATATCACTACATTAAATTATATCTATTGAATTACAGTTTAATGTACTTTAATATACTGACTTTCTTATATATAATGACTAATTATATATAATGACTAATATATAATGACTTTCTAATATATAATGACTTTCTTCATAGAAATTTTTTCATTTCAAACAAGAAGTTAACACATTCTATGATATTAAAATAGGTTTAAAGGTATTTCATTAGTTTGTCCAGGGAAAAATAAAACAACACATTTACTTAAAAAATTATAAATTATGTTTAATTACGAGGAGTAAAGGGTATATTTTAAAGACTTTCAAAAACTAATATGCAGTCATCCATCACAAACAAAAATAAAAGACTGTTGACAATTACATGTGAGAGAACACAGTAAAAATGATGTGATTATAATATATTCCACATTGAATTCCAAAATACCTACATTTGCACATTCTTCACACATGACAGTGCTAGTTAATTCACCAATAAAGATCCGATCTATGAAGTTCATTTTCACACCTTCTCTTCCATATGCTGTAAAAATATACTTTTTAAATGCAAAAAATATGTCAATCATCACCTATCAATATCTCATGCTATTTTCTATTGATTCAAAAATATCTGAATAAGGCATAGGTCCAGTACCAAATTTAATGTTATATTTTACTCTATGATATTATGATGTCTTTTTCCTTCACAATTCTGTGGAGAAACTGTAACTATTAGTGACAATAACCACCAAGAAATAAAATATTTTTTTTTATTTTATTTTTATATTCCCTATACAATTGCAACCCCCTTATTTTTAAACTTAAAAGCTAAAAGAGGGGCTTCCCAGGTGGCACAGGGGTTTAAGTCTCAGTGCTATCAAGATATCCTCTGTCTCTGTGAATCCTCTCATACCTTATAACCTCTGGCCTACACTCCAGTTCTTGTATGCATAAATAAATAAAATAAAATCTTTTTTTAAAAAAGGGCAAAATAGGTAGAGCAATTACCACTTTTCATATCACCCTCAACTCCTCCACTAAACCCTTTAAAACCTCTGTGCCTAACCTAGAAGTTGATGAAGGAATTTGGGACTACAGATGGCAGAACTCTAACAATGGAAACAAAAAGTGTAGTGACAGACAAGCAAACATAATATAAAAAAGTAATGTGAGTAATGACTCAGTTTTTTAAAAGATCAAAATTTTTCTGTTCAGGAAATATTTATAGATCAAAGGAAATTATTAATTGCTTTGAAACAATCTGAGGATGGGAGAAAATAAATGGAACATCATCAACTGAAGTAGTTTTAAGTTGGGTGATGGCTACAAGGGTACATGAGGCTTCATCTTAACTATTCTCTCTTACCTTAAGTTTGAAATTTTCCATAGTGAATCATAAGGGGAAAATACATTAACAAAGCTATTCACTACTCATGCAAACTTCTCTTTTATCTTTTTTGGGCCACTTGTTTCAAATTACATACAAAATATTTAAAGCAGTATTTGGAGCACTGGATGACAATGAGACATTATCTAGCTATATTAGCAAACATTATGAAAACGTTAGAAATATGCTAAATTAAGACATTTCATTAAGAAAAATTCTACAAAGAACTGAAAACAGAAAAGAGTACAAAACTGGAAAGGGGTAAAGAAAAAGTGGGCTGTTATTCTAAACATGCACTAGATGGCACTATCTCAAAACAAAAGAACAACATACTTGCGAATGTGCATTTTTTAAAAAATTTCGAATCCTTAACTGTAATAAAGTTTTCGAATAGAAAAATCACAATGTATGATTATTTATAAGTTATACATGTCATATGTACATATAAAATCACAAAAATGTTAGAAAAGAGACAATAAAACATATTTTAAATGTCTTGTGAGATTGTACGATAAATTCATACAATCACTAGCTAGTATCTCAAGGAAAAATGTACATTTAGGATAAGAAAAACTGCTAATAACTGGATATAAAGCTATACTTCAATACTGAAAGATCAGCTTTGACTGGATAGTCATGGCTTTTGCCTCATATTGCAGCTGATAAAAAGTCAACACTGAGAATAAAGTATTTATATATATTTGATTTATTTGTACTCTCATCAATAAATGGTTTCTTTGCAGGAATCTTTGGAATACTTGAGCATTTTGAGTGGTTAAAATGAGATAATATTCATTAATCCACAAAACCAAGCACAAGTCAACTGCAAAATGATATAATATGAACATGAACTTCCCAGGGAGGTTATTACTATCAACCACCTTTCAAGTCTCTCTTAGGACATCTCACATGAGGGCATCTGTGTCAATCTTGATAATAGTTTTAGTTTAAAAAATTTGTATGGTTACATTCTAACTGTTTCCTTCTATGCCTTGCTAAGCAATTTTGCAGTGACTAAATACATATCCTCCTTTTAAGGTCACTACTTTAAAGAATTACAAGTTCACATGTTGAGTTCTTTCCCCCCTGAAAAGAAAACTTTTATATTTCCTTCTAGAAGAAAGTTTTAACAGTGTCAACATACCTTTGACCTTTTTTTTAGTTTCATCATCAGCAGTTTTAGTAGTTGGGTTGTTAAATGCTTTTAGAATGCTGGCTTGTATTCTCTATAAAACAAAGTTAATAGGAATTTATTAAGAGTCTATACTATAATGTATTCTTTCAAAGCAATTATTTTATATTCTTCTGAATAGAATCATGTTTAGTAATAGTTAACTCAAGCCCCACTCTCTTAATAAAATGACTTTCAAACAGGAAGGTCCACTGAATTTTAATTCCAGAGTGTGATTGGGAAATAAAAATGACTGAATTTTTTTTTAATTAAACATGTTCTTTCTTCTAGTTCTAAAATCCCATGTATGAACAATTATCTAATTCTCCCAAATAAGAGTCAGAGTTCCTATGTTTAGGTTCTCTTGGGTTTAAAATATTTTTATCTATCTAAAAAAAGCGAGCAGCCTAGTCTCATTTTTCCTATAGACTTTGAGTGAGTTCTCTCTCCCCCATCTTTCCCTGAAATGATATATTCATTAATGAGGACAAAAAGAAACAACAGACTATATGAAATCTTAATAGCTATTAAGAAAAGTTATTAAGCTGGTCACTCTGACCTCTATGTAGATTATTCATACACATATATTGTCTAAAATATAAATTACTGTCCACAGCAAGAAGAATCCTCCAAATCTTTATCATTTTATTTGAATTTACCTGTCAATAATGATCATGTATTAAAGTCTTTAAGCAGTTTTTAATTAATGATGAGCTTGATGCTTCCACATATCTTGCATGTTTTAACAACCTCACAGCAAACTTGCAGAATAAAACTATATATTCCAAAAATAAAGTATTTTTTAACAAATGATCATCTTTTATACTAATTATGCCCCTAATTAGGAGATGAATTTAATCTTCTCTAGTTCCCATTATAATGGTAGAGTAAGGGAAAAGCTTGTCAACAATTATCCTTCAAATGATATATTTTGAAGTAAAATCTTCATCACAGGTTTTCATATGCAAAGTCAGAGTTTGACCTGGACTTCCTCTTATGAAAATGACACATAATTCTGTTGTTAAAACATTATCATGTCAAAATGATGTAAAAAATATATAAAATAAAATTTAAAAAAAATTATCATGTCAAAAGAAATTTAACCCAAACTGCAGACTCCCCAGAGAATAACAACACTACATATCAGAGTCCAAAGTATTTCCAATCTACAGACTTAAATATCTGAATCTACTTAAAAGAATAAAAACAAATGTGTTAAGCAGCTGATTCACAAATTTAGAAAAAGAATATCAAAGATGAACAAAGTAGAATGAAAGAATTAATGAAGATAAAACTAGAAACTCAAGAGACTAAATGAATTATAAGCTGATTCTTTGAGCAGTGGAATAAGCTCATCAACTTATAATCAAGATAAGAGAAAAGCATTAACATTACAATGAAGAAAAAGGGAAACCACTACCAAAATTAAAGATATTTTAAGTAATCATATTCAACTCTCACATAATTACATTTGAAAATTTAGAAAAAAAAAACAATTTTCCGGGAAGTTAACCTCAGTAGAGGAAAAAAATCTTCCAGAGGTGTGTGTGTGTGTGCATACATTGCTAAATAGCACTCCTTACAAAGAGCCCTAGGTACCTAATAATTTCATAGATGAATGCCACTAAACCTATGTTTTAGGGCATAAAGTGAAACTTACAAATTATTTTCATACTGATAACCAAATGCTGACAGAGAGTGCATATAGCACACACCAGTACCACTTATGAAGAAGTTCCAAATAAAATATCAGAAACAAAGTACAGTAGAACATTAAAATAATAGCACAATATGACCAAGATGGTTTTATTCCAGTGAATCAGGAATACTAGGAAATCTAAGAGGACATCATATTAATAGTCATAAGAAGAAAAAATTGTAAGATCAAATCTCCTGGCATCCCTTATTCACTAATGTTATCTGTCATCATAGCAGCATTTTAATGATTTCATTTTACAGAAAAATAAATCTGAGTTATAAAAATTATAAAGGAGATAAAATTATCACAGATGATATGATTTTTCCTGGAAAACCCAAAAGAACCAACTGAAATGTATAACCACTACAAATAATAAGATAATTTAAATAGTGGCGTATACAATGAAGTTAATAGTTTTTATACATATTGACAAAAACCAATTTAAAAATATGAAAGAAAATACCCCACTTGTAATAGCAACTAAAAAAGAAAATATCTAGGAGTGAATTTAAGAAATATATAAGAAATTGCTCATTTAGATGAGGAAAACATTACTGAAAGACACAAAAGAAAACATGATCAAAAGGAAAGACATATCATGTTCTTGGATGGGTATTAAATCATACACAAATATGTACACATGAGTATATAGGTATATGTATGTGTGTACATATATGTATGTGTACATGTGCATGTAATGTATATACATGCATACGTGTATAACTGTATTTTTGTATGAACACACACATAGACACACACAACCAAATGACAGCCTAAACCAACAACATGGTTTACAGACAAAGCAGAGCCAACACCCAACAGAGGCAAAGGAATTCCAAGAAGCACAGTTAGAAGGAATTCCAGAGAGATGGCCTGTGCCTCAGACTTGGGAGCAAGCAATCCAGATTGGAGCAATGAGACTTATGAGATAAACATACTGTCAACACCAAATCCCCTTTGCCATCATACCATGGTTTAAGTCTGAGAACAGAAAATATGGCAAATGAGCTATTGTTCTTATTCCCCCCGCCTTGCCCTGCTATCTTGATCTGCAAAGGATACACATTGCCTCTCAGTTTTTCTGCTTTGACCTATTTCTGAGAGCTCTGAGGCAGGCCATGATGAATTCAGAAGCAAAAATACCTTTTGGGACCAGACAGCTAGTACCTGATCTCTCCTGAGGCTCTGCAAGATGCTTTGGTAAGTCTAGCGCAGGACATTAATCACCTGCCCACTGACTTTACAGAAAGAACTCCTGTAAACTCTGGGAACTCCAGATACTCTCTCACCTCATCTTCTTGGAGACTTAATCCATAAAGTTTGTGCTTGCTATCCAGCAAAACTAAACAATAAATTGTTTAGACATATATAGGTAGCTCTCAAAACTATAGAAAAAGCAGTGGGATTATTTATTTCTGCATAAGTCAAAATAATGGTTACCTCTGATGAGGAAGAAGTGTTTGGGGAAAAAAAAGGAAAAGCTAGTTTCTAAGGTACTGATAACATCCTACTTACATACTTTTTTTTTTTTTACTCTAAGGGTGGTAGAGAGAATGATTGCTATTTCATAAATGACTCTTCTTTATATCATGCTTTCATTTTTTTGTATATTTGTATACATTCTCCTGTATGTATATTTCATAATAAGTTTTAACACCCTCCCCCAACAATTGTTAAACTGAGATTCAAACTGGTCTATGATCAGCATATTAAATTTCCTAAGTACTTAGTATAAGGGTAAATAAAAGTCTCTGTAGCTACTGAAGATAAAAACTTCTAACTCCACTTGGAGACATATAAATGTATTTATACCCTGAATATTGAATATTTTATTAATTCAAACATGACTTTCATTATGATTTAATGAGTCTTTATTAAATTCTGAAATGTAAGACTTGACATCACATTCCTACTCTTAAGAGTAAAAATATGAAATTATTTAAATTATTAATTTTTCAACTATTAGACTTACTTTTTTATTTATGCATCTAGCCATGCATTTATATTTGCCAAACTGTTAATATTCTCTAAAGTGTTAATAGGTATAGGCAATTCACCAAGTTGAATAAAATAAATGAGTGTAGGTCCATCTATAACATCTGTTGTTACAGGTTATGCTTTGAACTATTTTAAGTTTTTAAAAAAAGATACAGACTTTGGTCAGGAAGCTGCTAACAACTGTAGCATATTCATCAATTAGCAGTTTCAAGGATTTCAAATCTATATCTTAAACGTCTTTCAAAATTAAGAAAGCACGAAACATGTAAGTTAGCTGGGATAGTCTACCTTTAAAATAATTCTATTTAATGATGTATTAGATCTCTTTGGGAAGATAATAAAAATTAATTTAGTGACAGCTCAAATTAGAAGGAAATGAGCACAGCAGCACATATTTGTAAGTTGAAAAGATTGCCTATAAAAGTTCTTATGACTTTATTTATTTTGTACATAAAAATGTACAATTTTTGCACAAATGATCCCTTTAGCACTCTATTCAGTAAAAGCATGTTATATTCCTTAGCTAAGACCCATTAATAAAAAGATTTTAATGAAGCATTATTAAAAGAGGTCAGTAGTTTTTAATCATTATTAGAAGATTCTGGTGGCAGACATAATGTTGTAGCCTTTCTTCAATCAAAAAACACACGGCAGTGACAAACTACAACAACAGCACGATTAACAGCTGTGGAGTTCCCAGGATAGACAATACAGCTCCTGCTTGGTTACTCACTGTAACTGACCCCCATGACAGTCCCTGCTTACAAGACTGAATAGATCCACAGACTTGACATTTCAATTTTGCCATACCTCAAACAGAGATAGAGAGATAAGAGCTTTAATACAACAAATGTTTCCTGCTGTACTGACTGAGGTTTTAAGATACTGTGCATCCCAATGTACTAGTATGACAAGGCAATAATTTAATATAACAGAAAATCCATCAAGAAATAGAAGTGAAATGGGGGTGGGTGGAGAAAGGAGGAATAGATATTTACTGTTTTATTCATTTTATCAGCAGGAAAAGCCATGTATAAAGAAGCAATTTTTAATTCCACTACATATAAAATACAACTATTTAGTCATAGAGAAAAAAATCATTTTAACAACTAACAGTCTGAATTAACCTTAAATGCATATATCATCTGTAAGCTCAGAAGCACATAATGCATTTACTATTCACAACACAATGACAAAGCATCTCTCCACCTTGTATCTAGCTCCTTCATAAGAATATCAATATACCATAGTTACTGAATTACATTTAAAAGGATTAATTACATTTAACACTTTTCCCAAGTAATGAAAGAATCATGGTTAAATTTTAAATAGCAAACTTAAAATATCAGTATACTGATCACTGATGACCAAGCATTAAAACTAAACTGGATAGGCAGCACTATATAGAATTAGAAAGTTCATCTACTTGGCAGTGAGAACGACTAGACTCTCCATTCTGAATTAACAGTTTCTATATATATAAATGTGATAAAATACTAGCTTAGGGAGATTGTGGTAAGTGTCTCCCAAATTTAGCTAATTATAAATCTTAACTGTTTTTTTTAAAACAAACTACACAACATAAGACAATATTATTCTGTCAATTTACCAGTTTATACAAAGTATAACACATTCAAAATAAACTGCAAATCTCTAGTTGCAAACCTAGAAACTAGTTACTATAATTTTTTTAAGAAGCTGTTTATTTTGTTTTATTTTCAGTTCAAATTTTCAACAGAAGTTGCCCATTTAAGGTTATGCCCAATTTATGCAATAAGCATTCACTGAACACAATGTGCAAGGCACATGGGCTACAAAAATAATGCATAGTATCATTCCTGAAAAGATCACAATCTAAGAGATAACAGATAAAGATACAAATCTAAATATAAGGTAGCAGGGTTCGTAATCAAAATGTGAAAATAGAGATATGGCAGAAAGAAGTGACACCTTCAAATGCTGATTTAATTAACATGAAAGTCAATAAACAGCCAATCAAGGATAGGATTACAATATACACTGTTAGGTAGTAGGAGGGAGCCATTAACTTATTCTTTCATAAAATTCATAAGGAAACCTGACTCTTCACTGAAAATTGTCCTTTACAGTTAAAGAAACACTGCAATGTTACAATTCAAACAAAGCACAATTTTAAAAATTAAGAATAAAGGGGGTCCGCCTGCTGCATAATATAGTAACAACTACCACAAGCCTAAGAGAACTTCATTTTCACATGGTTGTTTTATTCATATTAACAGAGATTTTGTAATATATTCACTTTGAACAGAAAACAGGATTTCACCTACTCTGACAATTGTACCTGACTACCTACAGTGCTATGTTGAAAAGATTCAATGGCTGATTAAGCAGAACTTACAATTAGCAATGTCTGCTACTGAGTGAGAAAGAGGGGAAATAGAGAATGTGTGTGCTGTGCATATGACATATTTAGTATTGTGCATTTCTCTGAAAGTTGTATTTGCGTAGGGCCCCACCAGAAAATTGAATTTAACTAACCTAATATTAAAGTCAACAAAACAGGCAATCAATTAAAAAACAAGATACAATAAACACTGGGGAATCCAGTTCATGAGTTATTTTCTTTCTCAGAAAAGTTCCCTGATCCAAGAGGCTGGAATCCTATCTTTGTATAGACAAGTGACTGATTTGAATGGATTCTAATCCAATAAGGAAAAATGAAATCTCTCTTTGGAATTTAGAAACGAGATTCATAAATGGCCAGTTTCATTTTGTATATGTGTAATGACAATATGCAAACTATGGTAGCCATGTTCCGCCATCCAGAGAAACAATTCAGTCTGCAAAGAAATGAAAGGAAAATCCACAGAGCCAGGAGAACATGGGAAATGAGAACACTTTCTGAATTCTTAAGAAATTTCCTGTTCCCACAACCCCAGCTATATCTTTTGTGCTGGGTTCTCAGACTACCTTACTTTTTATAGCTAGTTTAAATTGATTTCTGCTATTTATAACTTAAGGGTATTAACTAAGAAAAGGAGAACAGGGTTGTGAAAGGGTTAAAAAAAATAATCATACAGGGCCACCCTGGTGGCACAAGGGATTAAGCACCATACTACGAAGCAATCCACAGCCTCTGCAGCATGAGTTCTATCCCCGGCCGGCCAGGGAGCAACCCACATGGAGCAGCAGACCTCTCCTGTCTCACCCACTGCTCCCCTCAGCAGTATACTTCAGTCTATCTGCCTGTTCTGTTCCCCACTCTGTCTCTGGTGAATCCTCTCACCCCCCGCATCTCTGGCCTATACCCCAGCTCTTGTATGCATAAATAAATCAATCTTAAAAAATAAAAAATCTTACAAAAGGTGGGCAGGAAAAAAACAAACAGAATACAGATGGATAGAACCAAAGGATTTCTCAACCATATATTAAAATTATGGTAGAAATTAACCCCTTCAGTTTAGTGCCCTCTTCTTAAAGAGTATATGTGATAAATATAAAGAAACCTCACCTTTGTTTCTTCTGTCCTTACTGCATCCAGCAGATAATGAAGAAGTTCCTGGCTATCCTGTTGTTGTAAACTTTTAAATCCAGGGGCCCTATGATTTAAAAATTAAAAAAGGAAAAAAAAAAGAACAATTATGATTCATTAACAAGACATTACTATTATTTGAAATCACTTTGAAATAACATAGCCAAATACTCCATTTACTCCACTAAGTAGAAAAACAAAATTAATTTTGTTTAATCCTAATTAGGATGAGATTTTTAAGTGCACCAAGAACAATGTCATTATCATTTATTAGGCAGCTATTATATGCAAAGCACAGTGCCAGATTTATATTTATTAAGTCACATAATCCTTAAATAAATTGGCAAGTACTATTTTTCTCCAGCTATCTGAGGGCTAAGAGGAATTATTTAAATAATTTATTTAGGATATAAAGTGAGCAAAAAACAAAACAAAACAAAAAGGCTGAAACACATTACAAATTACTATATTATTTTCCTACCTTAAATAACTAAAAGAAAAGCAAGAGATTATTTACATTAAAATAAAGAACTGTAAATTGATTTCTGTAAATGTACTTCTTATAAGGATTTGACAGATTTCCTGTGTATGTATTAAGTAAAAAGTTTGGGTGCTATTCCTAGAGAACACTGACACAGTACATACTTGGTTAATTTCAGTAACTTTAAAAAATTATATAAACATTTTTGTTTTAAATGTAAACAAGTACTCAATTTAGAAAGAAATTTTTCATCTAAGAAAAGAATTTTGTCAAACTAATACAAAAGAGCATAAATAGCTTATTGTACCACAAGACAAGTTTACAGTGGTCTTATATACACAACAGCACTGTTAGGGAATTCATATTAATATGAACTCTTACTTACACTTCAGAAAACTGAAGAACATGTTAGTGAAGCTGACATAAGTCCAGGTATTTTGATTTTTACTTCCAGTACTTTAAACATTATTACTCATTAAGTCATGATAAACATTCAGTCTAATAATGCACTAATATGAATCCATGGTGCTAAAAAGCTATCTAACTAGGAATGAATTTAGCCTGTAACAGGAACCATCATTTTGATTACTCACTCTTGCTAAGAGGAGTAACAGCGTGATGTTAAGAGCACTTTTCACTGACTCCCTTGGTGAACTTCTCTTTCCACATGTGGTGTGACCAACAATTAGGTCAGAGATAAGAATAGAAACCAAGATGGATACAAGTCCAAACCCTAATTGGGCCTCCACAGATGGAACCCATGAGAGGCAGAAACTGCAAGATACTATAGTGTGGTGTGGATGTCAAGGAAGGTCAGTGAAATGGAAGAAGACAAGAGGAATCAGAGGAATCCTTCAGAGATCCTCGCCAATCAGTTGGCAAGTAGAAGGGCACACATACACACATGAAGGAAATGACTCCTGAACAGAGGAAAAACTGCCTCTACCATCTCTCTGATGATAGCTCCATCTCAACTACGTACAAACCATTTACTGCCTTCTAATTCAATGAAGAAAATATAAAATTTAACAAACCTATATATTTTTTTCTTTTGCTTTTTCTTAAGACTAGAGAAAAATGTCATATAATTGAAGCAGGCCCTTGAAGCAGAGCCCCCTAAATTATTAAACCCAGCTCTGCTGAAAGGCATTGGGTGTGATTTGCCTCCAGCCCCACTGAGGCCACCTCTAGCTGACCAGCTCTAGCCCAGGAGCCTGCCCTGACCTCAGTGCAGGTCCAATCTGGGCAGGGGCTAGCCTCTTCCTTTTTATATCAGGCTCCAGGATATTGAAAATGGGCTTGAGAACAAACTAATTTGATTGGAACTTAACCAGCACCAATCAAACATCTGGGATTGGATGCTTCTCCCCACCCCCGACTGCTCCCAGTTCCCAGTGTTCAGTAATAAAGCCCAACTGGTACAACTGCCCCCCACCCTTGGATCCTAGTGTTCAGTTATGCAGATATAGGATTATAAATGCATCAAACTGATAGGAGCTGCCACAGGTGCCATGAACTAAAAGGACCAATCAGGCTTGAAAGGTGGGCACTCTGGAGAGTATATAAGGCAGGCTTCGATCAGTTTAAAAAGGAGGAGAGGTGTTGGAGACTTGAAAGGAGCTTGAAGAGGCAGGAAGAGAGGCAGTCAGGTTTGTCAGGAAGACCTTTACTGAGCTGTCAGTACTGAACCCTGTCCTCTGACACCATGTATGTGCAGACGCAACCATCACCTGCCTCTGACATATCAAGCACCAACCCCTGGTGCTGTTGCTCTTGGTGCTACATGTCTTGGTGTCCAGTGCTGCCTGCATCACACTTCGGATTGCTGTTGCTGAATGCCGTGGTGCCCCTTCTCGGAGATCTTTGAGACCTTTAACCTTGGCAAAGACCATCATGTCCTTCAATCTTCAAACCACCGTTACTAACTCTGGTCCTCCCTCTAATACTTTTCTTCTCCCAGCTTCTGTCTCTGCTTTGTAAATACACCCTGCTATTGAACCCTGAGCCCGAGTCATCTCCTTCAACTACAGTTGTAAGCACATGGGTGGGAACCCATCAACCATGACATTTTGGGTCCCCCAGGCTTTGCATGGGGTTACAGCTTAACTTACAGACTCTCCAATGGAAGCAACTTGAGCTACCAATATCTCCAAACTTAAAGAAAAAAAAAAGATAAAAATTGCCAAATAAATGAAAAGATTCACCCTATTCAAAATATGGAGAACACTAAACATTAACAGGAAATGTAACTTACTAAAGCTGTTACTCTGGGAAATAGGAAAGAACTTTTAAAAATTTCAAGTTGTATGAGGAAAAATGTTTGCACACTCATAAAACAGGAATAGGCTGTCAAAAAAAATAAATTTAGAACAAGAGAGGATATGTGATTTCTTTGGGATGAAGACAAATCAGTCTGTTCAAGATCCAAAATCTCTACTCCAAACATTAAATATAAAGAGAAAACGAAAAAGGCGTAAGTAGGATTCAACACAGAATTAATTCCAGAAGGCAAAAATAGGATACAAAATAGTAAGGAGAGGAAAAAAAACCAACCTTGATGGATTCTGGCATGAAAGAGTTCAGTCTTGAAAGGTAAAGAAAACCAAAGCCAGACTTAAGGATGGTTGACCTTACCAAAGACCTGAAAGGAAGTCCTTAGGCAAATCTCGCTACACTTAACACAGACACAGCCTAGAGACCTGCTGTCTGGAGGGCTCGGGTAAGCACAGAGCTGCAACTAAACAAATGTTAGTCCCGTTTCCTGATAGTCTAGGCCACAGAAGCAATAAAACTATTAATAAAGTTAGTAAAACTATTAATATATTATTAAATAAAAATTACATTAGTGGTATATTAAATAACATAATATTAAACAATACGTTAATATTTTATAACTCATGATTATTTAGATTAAGAATGTAGATGCACCCACTTCTGACAAAGCTGATTAAAAAGGACTTTAGGAGACAGTGGCCCCTTTTCAGTCTCCTTCATGCTTTGAAGAAACAGGAACAAGGATGAGGTTAAAGGTCCAGGGCTTGAAAGTTCCACCACTAGAGGGTCCTTTAAAAAGAAGATCAACTCAAAGTCAGAAATAAACAATTTTTAAATAAAATAGTATTTAAAATCTAAGGGCTATACTTTATTAGATGACAGATTGTTTCAAGTATATTAAGAAACTTAATCCCCTCATTTATAAAATGGATATATAAAAATGGAAAAAAGGAAAATTGAATTACATTTCTTATCTTGAAAAACACAGGTATTCTCATTCTCTGTCCTTTTCTTAAAAAAACTTCTACTTAAGAGTGAAATCACCGTTATTCAGTTGCTTGTAACTATTCCTTAAATGTGCTCGCCAAAGGTAAAGTTACTCATCTACTTGATACTGCACATCTTCACAAATAATTATAAATAATATTTACTTGCAAAAATTCCACACCATACATTCCCCAAGTATTTTACTAATAAACAATGTGAGATTATGTCACAAAATTGATACACCATCTCCTTCTGTTGAAGGAGAGAGAAAACGTTTAACAAAAAAAATCAAAATTGTGTGAAGAATCAATGCACTTTATTCTAAAATGTTTTCCACACCATGTGTTGTTTTCTAAAATGTTACCTTCACCAGTAACCCTCTCTTCCTTACAAATAATAAAAAGCAGATTTCAATATAATCTTGGGACATTAGCAAATGTTATGTTCTAAGACAATTATCTAATATATTGTTTCATTACTGTAACATATATACCATACCAACTATCCTTAAAAATATAACACCTAGCTAAAATCACAGAAAGGACAGGCTATAATTACCCAACTTTTAAATGTCAAAAGTGTATTCCGAAAGGCTAACTGAATTGAAAAGTACCTCAGGGTCAAAAGTACAATCAAAGGCAGTTTCAAAACCCTATCACTCCCAACTAAAGTATTCTTAGACAAAGTTAAGAAACCTTCAGAATTAAATAAAGGAATGACCTTAGTTTTAAAAAGTATGCTTAAACCTTGAAAACAAAACTAAGGCTTCAGGTGAGAATGCAATATGGATGAACCTCTGTTGACAGGAAGAAGCCAAATAAAAGAGAGCAGATTGTGTGATTTCATTTACATATATTAGAAAAGGTAAAACCAATCTGTCTTATTAGAACCAGGTTAGTGTTTGTCCTTGTGGGACAGGGAGGCAGTGGCTGAAAGGGGCTTCCAGATACTGGTAATGTTGTTTCTTAAGCAAAATGTTGGTTAGTTTCAATTCAATCTGTTCAATTTGTGAAAACTGAACTTATGATGTACATTTCTCTGTAAGTATGTATACATTAATGGTTTTTTGAAAAGTAAGCACTCTGCTGCCATGCATATAGATATCAACAAATTCATTCCAACAACATATAAGAATATATCACAACTAAATGGAGTTTGTTCCGGTAATAAATGATAGGATTTACATTTGAAAATCAGTCCATGTAATTTACCACGCTAACAGAAAATAAAGAAAAACTGAAAATCGCATTAGATGCAGGAAAAGTATTTGACAAAATTCAACATCCATTCATGATAAAACTCTCAGAAAACTAGGAATAGAAGGGAAAGACCTCAATTTTATAAAGAACACCTATGAAAAACCTGTGGTTAACTTCATTCTTAAAAAGAGTGAAAGATTGTTTCTCCTCTAATTTTGGGATTAAGGCAAGGAGGTCTGCTATCATTTCTTTTTGACACGTTACAGAAGGTTCAAGTCACCACAATAAGATAAGGAAAAAAAACACAAATCATATGCAGATTATTAAGGACAAAGTTAATATGGTGATTAAAAAATAATGATCTACACACACTTGTCCTACAGCTTAGTTCAACTCTGTCCTAAATTCCATGACATAAAACTAAAGAGATCTGGGGCCTCCCTGGTGGCACAAGGGGTTAAGCACTGTACTATGAAGCAACCGCAGCCTCTGCAGCACGAGTTCGATCCCCGGTTGGCCAAGGAACAACCCACATGGCGAAGCAGACCTCCTGCCTCGCCCGTGAATCCCCTCAGCAGTGTATTTCAGTCAGTCTGCCTGTTCTGCTCCCCACTATGTTTCTGGTGAATCCTCTCACGCCCCCCCCATACAGCCAGTCTGTACCCCAGCTCTTGTATGCATAAATAAACTAAATCTTTAAAAAAAAAAAAAACTAAAGATATCCATTATAATATCTAATTGCCATACAGCAATCTTGAGATATAGCTCTAAATGTGATACTTAAACTTAATATCCAATCACATTTAACAGAAATCTTTTCAAATAACTAAGTATTAACTTCCATTTAGTAAAGTAGTCCTTAATATCTCACTGCACTTTTGAAAAGGGCATTGGGATCTACCCTAAAATTTTAAGGGGTGAACAAGCAATAAGTTTATAGATTGCCTTTTTTTTTTTAATTTCAAAAGTATCTTATTTAAATTTTTAATTTTTTATTGTGGTAACAATGGTTTCCAACATTGTACATGATTCAGAGGCACAGGATCACACCTCATCAGTTGCACATAACCATAGCACACCCACCACCAAGGTACCTCTGGTGCTCCCCATAGCCCAGGGGTACCCTCCCTACCTCTATCCTCAATTCCTCAGATAGACTGCCTTTCTAACAACAGAAAAACAACAACAACAAAAAAAATATTGTCTTTCAAAACTTTCTACTTGGAAATCTTAGATTTTTTTTCCAAGCCAATCGTATGATTGGGTATCTTGCCAAATCTGATCTATTAGGAAGACTAGAATGAGGGTAAGGCTGTTAATATGTATTTTGCTTTTTATAGTAAAGAAGTAGCAGTATTTGTGATTTTCTAAGTGACAGAGTAATCTTGTTTTTATCAGTGTTCAGACAAAATTATGAAGTGGCCTTGCTTTGTCTCATTTAATCACTCTGAGGGTTAACTAGTCTAGGTTTGGATTTCTGAGAGATTATCTGAGTAACATGATCTGTTATTGCCAGCCTAACTCAGAATGTCAGAGGTGACTTTTTTATTTTTTTTCTTTTCTGTTCTCACTAACTTAAAAACCTATTATTAGAGTAGGTTCCAGAAAACCTTCAGATGCTATTAAAATTAAATGTACCTTTAGAGAACAAAAATGATCTACTTATGTAAACTAAGAAAACAGGAATGACAGATACTAGCAGCATCAGTGGTTCATCTGAAAAGAGATATTAGTTAGATAGTTACACTTCTTACCAACTGACAATCTGAAGGAAATATCTTGAATTTTGTGCCATTTTCTTTGATCTCATTAATCAGTTCAGTAAGAATGTAAGACTGTGCCAAGTTCTAAAAGAAAACAAAAGACACACCTGATTTTATAGGATAAATACTCTCTCAAAATTCAAATTTCATCTAGCATAGCAGAAAAGTTTAAGCGTTTAAAAATTTAATTGAGTACATCTTATATTCAATAAATGTCACAGCTACTGAGTTAGCCATGGTAAAATACAGGGAAGACCTTTCAGAAGCACTGTGGAAAAAGAAGGTAGATGAATGTATACAATGATGGCAAAAGGTAGCCTAAAACAAAAAAAAAGAGCGAGAGAGAAAGGCATAAATAAACATTTAACAGTCTACAGGTCTATAAATAAATATAAATCAAAATAATCTTTTACATTTTACAAGGCTTTTTGAGTGCTCTTACCTGTAAGACTGCATTAAAAAAGCAAGTATTTCCCAGATTTGTAATTCCTTTCACAGATGTTACACTGCTGCCTTTTTTCCCCTTCTTTTTTTCACCTATTTCACATTTTTCTTCGCAAAGTTTAATGATTCGAGAAACTGCACCTAAGTTAGAGAACACATAACTGACATGAAAATTAAATATACATAATTTGAAATTAAATATTTTCCACCTGAATCAGTGTTCCTGGGTGGTAATAATACAAACACACCAAAAAATGCCTCTAACTTTGTATCTTACTGCAAAAGCAATTAATTATAATTCATTTTAACATGCATGTGTTCCATATCACATTCTGGAATAAATTCCTGATGAATTAAATAAAAAAGAAAAAAATAATAAAAAAAGAAAAGAAAAGAAAAGATCCAGATCTTAGTTTCTAAACTGGTTTCTTAGTTTCTTTATTTCCAATAAAAGAAGTAAAGACTCCTTGAAGAAAATGCTGACGCTAAGCCCGGGGCAGCCCAGAGTCAAAATGAGCCTATAACATTTTTGCTGTGCCAGAAAATAAGGAAGTACTCAAAGAAAGTAATGAGTATGTAAAAACACACAGGCACCATTTTGAATAAGTTCCCACTAGTCGAATCTGGGACACTTGAATAAGAAAATAAAGGACAATAAGAGATTATTACTCACTGAGCAAATGAGAATGAATCTGAATTAATAGCTTATAAAATGGAGGGAAAAGAGGGGAAACTCTTCCTTACAAGAGAATATCAACTAATAAACAGAATAAATGATGAAATTATAGAGGCTTTTTTGGGGCATTATTCTTGCAACTTTTATGTAAATTTGAAATTGTCAAAATAAAAAAATTTAAAAGATTAACAGAACAATATCATAATATAAAAAGTAAACTACCTAAGTATGTACATAGTTCATGCTTTATATAATAAATACACAGTTCATCCTTTACATAATAATCCAGATTTGAAAATTATGACAGTTCATGTTTAATAATACATTGAAAATGAAGGGGCCTCCTTGGTGGCACAAGGGGTAAGTCTCAGCACTATGAAGCTATCAGCAGCCACTGTGGCATGATTTCGATCCCCAGCCAGGGAGGTAACCCTTTCACCAACCCCCATCCCCTGTACCTCTGGTTTGCACCCCAGTTCCTGTATGCATAAATAAATCTTTAAAATATAACAATAATAAATTGAAAATGAGAAAAACTAACATTCATGAACTGACATTTAATAGCAGATTATGTTCTGATAAAAATCATTACAATTTGGAGTTTGATAAGAATTTCCCATGCTCACAAAAGTTTTAGTTTTAACTGGATGTTCTTTTAAATTCCTTTTTCAACCTTCAGATTTAATTCTTTACATTCATCTGATATAGTCATACTGCTGTGCACTGCTGATTAACTTTTAAAAGTCTGGTTGTCTATCTCAGCAAACACAGAAAATGTCTCTTAGTACTTACTACTGCTCTTTCTTCCAAAGGAGTATGATGTTGGGGAAAATATACATAATAATAATCCAACATAAATGAAAACTTACAAGATTATATCCAGCAGAATTTTATTTTATTTTTATAGAGGCATGTTTTTATTTGTTTGTTTGTTTTGTTTATACATGCACTGGGTACAGTCAGGAGCGCGGGAGGGTGAGAGAATTCACCAGAGCCAGAGCGGGGAGCAGAGCAGGCAGAAGGACCGAACTACACTGCTGAGGGGAACAGCGGGCGGCAGGAGAGGTCTGCGCGCCATGTGGGACCCTCCTCCGGTGGCCGGGGAGCAGCCGGGGATCGAACCGGCGCCGCGGAGGCTGCGGGCAGCTTCGCAACCCAGCGCTCAACCACTGCGCCACCGGGGAGGCCCCTCCAGCAGAATTTTAGTCACATCTCTGATGGGTTCTTATGAAGAAATAAATACATTCACCTGCCTCCCACTCCCCATCATGCCTTCTTACAACAAAGGTGAGAGAAATGAACAGGGGGGAAGGTGACCCTGTTTTCAGGGACAAGAGCAGACAGCAAACACCATACAGAGAAACTTTAATGTCAGGTACCACAGATATATATCATGCACATCCTTTTGGTTAAAGTAAGACATCCCCAGTGCTAGGTAGGGAACAGGCCAGCACCAACCTGGAGACACGCTGAGAGACGAGTTGTGAAGCAGGTTTGCAAGGCAAGACTCTGCTGCTCAGTGAGCAGCCCTCTTACTATTTATTAGCAGTAATAAACAAGCATGACTGATTATGTGACAACAGCAGGATGAGCAGGGTCCAGGGGAGACAACTTTATGGGGAGTGGAGGGAAGATGTTGGCCAAGCACACAGGGAGGACTTCCTGTTAGGGACTTGATGTAATTTCTGAGCTACTTCCAGACCACCTCAGACCATGGTCATACAATCAGTCAACAGCTGTCTAGGCATCCCAGCTGCCTCATGATGTGGGCCGTTATCTTAAGGCAGTCATGCAGGAGTGCCTTATCCAAACCCTGCATGCGCACGCCGCACACGCGCGCACACACGTACATAGAGGTCACGGGTGCAGAGCCCCAAGCAGTAGAAACACCACATCCCAGCATCTGTTAACTTTTGCCAAAGAAAAAGCATGTAGATGTGGGGCTCCAGTACAATAAAGTGGAGCGACTAACACATTTTCTCACTGAATTTTCAAAAGGATAAAAACGAGCTATTTGCAAAGTACCTGGCATGGTAAGACTATGTGTCTGCAAAACAGCCCAGAAAGGACACCGCCCCCCCCCAATTGTTATTTGTGACAAAATCCATATCTTCATCATCTGTCCTTTATGTCCATTGTTTATCTGCTTTCATTTTTTTTCTCTTTATTCATTTTGGATAATTTTGTATTTTTCTTGTTTATCTCTTATTTATAATTAGATTTTCTAAATTGTTAGTATGCATTTTGTTTTTTATAGTAGTTTTGTGATTTTCATGATTTCTTGGCTTTTCATAACATGTGGAAACATTTCATATGAGGAAAATGAACTGGTAGTTTTTCAGGTGGTTTTTTTTTTTTTTTTCATTAAACAAATAAATTGTATGAAAAATATTTTTCTTCCAAATCTGTAGACCTTTTCTCTTATCCTTTGAGGCAATATTTTTTATAACCCTATTACCTGTTTATCCCCTTTATATCTATTTGCTTTATTCTTTAAAGTTTGCTGGTTGTTTTGGATGTCTGTTGTCCAGATACTAAAGAATCATTTTCAATTAATAACTCCAGAATCCTGAGTCAATGCAGAAAAGGACCAGCAAGATAGATCTCTTGTCCTTCAGATATGAAAAAAAGTTGTAAGAAATAAACCCCATGACAGAGCTCGGGGACAAAGGCCGGCACAATTAATGGAGCAGATCACTAAAATGCAGAGTCCAGGAACAGAGAAAAGGAAAAGCAGGAAAAAGACAGTCAAGTTTCAAATCTGTAACTAGAATATAAAAGCAAATGAAAAAAGCCCATACGTCTTTAAGAAGTAGTACACAAACAAGAGAAACTGGGTAAGATCCTGTTTGGTTTGTATGTAAGAGCCACCACTTAATTATATCTGAGATGCCAACTGAAGTCTAGCTTAGGCAGATTTCAGGCTCTAATCATAGCTGTTGCCATTTCACAGTTTCATAATGATTTTTAAGACATTTAAGAAGAAAGAATAATTAAAACCAAGCATTGCTCCATCTTTTTAGCAAGGGGGTTACACTGATTTTATATTTATAAAACACAGTCCCAAAAGATTAAGTAATTTGCCCAAGATCACAATGATTATCTTTTGATTGTAAATACTCTGTCATTTTATTGATGCTTATAAAATGTCATTTTATAGAATTGGCATATGCAAATTTTTTTAAGATTTATTTATTTATGCATACAAGAACTGGGGTATAGGCCAGAGGTGTGGGGTGTGAAAGGATTCACCAGAGACAGAGTGGGGAACAGAACAGGCAGACAGACTGAAATACACTGCCGAGGGGAGCAGCGGGCAAGTCAGGAGAGATCTGTTGTGCCATGTGGGTAGCTCCCTGCTTGGGAGTGGTTGGGGGACACAAACTAAATAGATTATATTTGCTATTAAGTAAATAAACTCCACCTGGAGAAATTCTTCCAGAAATAAATATTTTACTCTTATAAGAACAAATAGCACTTTAAAAACCAGAACATGTAGGGTCTCCCCAGTGGCGCAGTGGGTTGAGCGCAGCGCTATGAAGCTGTCCACAGTCTCTGCAGCATGGGTTCCAGGCCAGCCAGGGAGATTCCCACGTGGCGTGGCAGACCTCTCCTGTCGTGCCTGCTGCTCTCCTCAGCAGTGTATTTCAGTCATTCTGCCTGTTCTGCTCCCCACTCTGTCTCTGGTGAATTCTCTCACCCTCCCATGCTTCTGGCCTGTACCCCAGTTCTTGTATAAAAATAAATAATTCTTAAAAAGAAAAAAACAGAACATGCAGATCATTTATGTATCTGTGTATCACACTGATCCATCAGTTTTCAAAACATCTGGGATGTCATCCTAAAGTAAACAATGTTCATAAGACCATCTGGACAAAACTACAGGCAAAAAATAAGCATAAACATATGGAAAAACAGATTTTACCCTGCCCTTCAGCAGGAAGGAATGACAAATGTTGAACCTAGATGTAGCCACGCTTCACTGTGCGATGTTTTTCAGCACCACCTGGCTCTCCATGCACAGCCACCAAATATGGACAACACTGCCAGAAAGAACACATCCACAGGGCAATGGCAATAAAAATAGTTTATTTCATGGCTAAATAGCCACTTCACACAAGTGGCAAAGGTCTGTTGACTTTTACATATAAGTCTGGGAGCAAATACACAAAATGAATTAGGCTAGTGGACTTAAAAAGATCAGATAATCTAAAAAACATTTCCAACGAGCTATTTAAATGTTTTATTTAAAGTATAAATTTGTCATTTTTCCCAGTAACACATTTATAAAATGTAGCAATTCAAATATAATTGATTTATCAAATGCCTGTTGTGTGTCTAGTACTATATGAACGACTAAGTGTATTTATACTTCACTGCTTACGAATTATGACGTATAAGGAGTGTATAAGGAGTTGCTATACAGTGAACAGCATGGTGATAGTAAACCTTAAATTCATGATAA